AGTGCAGTCACTACTGTCATGCATGACATTACAAACACCGAAAGTGTGTTGAAAAGCTATTTACAATTTCAGTCAAATTGCCTTTTTTGTTAATTTAATGTGCAAATGTCCCTAATGCATTTGTCAGTTTGCAGCTATCTTCATAATGAACGTGTCAGTTGGATGTTCACTGACACTGATTTTATTCTGTATTTATTTCTTTCCTGCTAAAGTTTTCAGTCATGGTTGTAGTTTGTTTGAATGCTAACACGGTTCCTTTGTTTACTGCAGCCTGTCTGCAGTCATAATAAGACATTTTTAAATTCTTTTAATTTAAATCAAATTTCTAGCACAAGAGTTTGGTCCTTGCGCTTCCTGAGATATCCAACATGCCTCACAGACAGCAAGCCCTAGATCTGTTGGAACTCCACCATCCCTCCTTTTCCTCCTCTCTAATCCCCTCCCTGCCCGTGCTGGCAAATTCTTTGGAGCAATCCTTCTACTCATGCCTTCAGGACTTCTCAGTCCAGGCAGTCATTCCCTTGATGGCTTACAACCTCCTTCAAGATCTAAGTTGCAATAAATCTTTCTTCATCATCTTTTTTCGAGTCTTTGCCCAACTGGGGCCCGCTGACTTCTGTTCAACAAAATGTTCAGCAAATTGAGGTTCCAATGACACGAGATAAAAGACATATCAACTCGTGTCATATACAACCATATGATATTTTAACCAAGATCACTACGTTTACCTAATCCTGATAAAAAGTCCTCTCTTGCCTTAATCTTACGACACTGATATAAGATTAGTGTTTTGTGTAACTACACCAGATACTCGTTGTTGACAGCGGTGAAAACTGTATCTGAATGTTCATAAAAAGTTGTCTGCATACACCAAAGCAGCAAAAAACTCATTGCCCCGAAATGCAGAACTGACCGCCACAGTAAATCCTTTGTGCCGGTGGCAATAAGACTGTATAACTCTTCCACAGAAGCTTCTTCTTTTAAGGCTGCGCTCAGGACCTCTTCAGAGGAAGCTCATCTCTGCTGCTTGTATTCTCTCTTATCCTTACAACAATAGACTGGTACCCATACACTTCCCCATTATTTGTAAAAAAAAAAAAAAAAGACCAGCAAGACTTGGGAAGTACTTCATTCCCAACCATGAGTGGGCATTTTGGCCTGCAGGAAGTGTACAACTTGATAAAGCCAACAGGGCCAGGTCACCTGAGGTCACCAGATCAGAAAGCTCCACACAGAAAATCTTTAACACATGGTGAAGGGATGATGTCCAGCTCTGTCTGGGAACTAGTCTGCCCCTAGTGTATACCAAGCTCTCCTTTTTGGTTGCACAAGGACTGAGTAGTCTGTAGCAATGAGCCGAACGCTCCACACAGAACACCCCCTCAGGGACTTGTTGAACACAAATCACACGGAGATTGGTTGGGCAAAGTCCTGCACACCGCCCAATAACTTTGAGAGGGTAAAGAGAACTCTGTATTAAAAGTAATGAAAAAAGTACATTTGATTCAATATTTTATGAATCTGTGTAATTTACCATCCGTGGTTTTTTTTTACACTGACTGAAACTCAGCAAGTCCGCCAGCTATACAGTTACACTGCTCATTTGTCATGCTACCATCTGAAAAGCTCCATGCCAGTTTACACAATTTATTCTCATTCAAGTCGAATAAGTATATTTCACAAAGTGTTGAAAATATCAATTTAATAATCTTCACAATTATTATAATGACTAGTAAGAAAAATATCTTTATAAGCATTGTTATTCCCCAGATATTTTATCTATCCACTTTTGAGAAACATAGATGAAAACAAAAACGGAGAAAACTGTTTACAACAAAATGTTAAACCTTGGGTCGTGTTTCTTTTTTCTTTTTTTGGATTGATTTCCTTACAGCAGGCTGGTGAGCCTTTAATTCAGTATTACATTGAAAATATCTTTGTAGAAAACAGAAATGGGCTGTTGCAAATGTTTTCTTTTGAACACTTTTTTTTCCTTATTAAACATTCATTTATATTCAGAAACACAATGCTCAATTCACCTCCAGCCTGAATGGAGGTGCGTAAAGAAGACACAGCTGGAGAGAGACAAAGAGAGAAATATGTGCACACACACACACACACACACACACACACACACAAAAACAAACAAACACTGACGGGTGCCTCTTATCTTCTAAACAGCTTGGAGAAGCAGTGTGTGTGTGTGTGTGTGGACCTGAGGCAGTGTAATCAGTCTCAGTGAGTTTGAGTCCCTGCAGTTTCCTCTCAAGGTCACAATATGAACTCTATTGGCTCCGACTGACTGTCTGCTTTACAGTCGGTGGGACTGTTACAGGGCTGCTGATAACATCATTAACACTGTGACATTATAAAAAACTTCTTCCACCACAGATTGTACTTCTTACGCTTCTCCCTTTCTGTCCGCTGGCATAGCTCTTTGGTTACCATGGATATGTACATGCAAGTGCTTCACTGGTTGCTTTTCTTCAGTGCAGTGAACTTCCAGGTCTCCTAACTAATGAATAGCTGCGAAAAAGAACAGTCTGTACATGGTGAAAAACTATTTTTGCTGTCATGATTTACAAATACTACACCTGGATGATTCAGGATAGTTAGTGGAGTTTGAAATGCAGGTTTTCATACAGAAAAAAGAAAATTTATGTTAATAGCAGCAATAATAATAATAATAATAATAATAATAACAGTGTTTAGAATGATATTAGAATTCTGCTGCTGTTTCTTTTTTGTGATACTCAGAATCTGAAATGTAATGTCTTCTAACATGTGAATCGTGCTGTGCAGCTTTACAGTCATGTCAAAAGTTGTCTCAGGTTTCTCTCCAGTACCCTTTGCTTCATTAGCTTAGAAAATGACCTTTGTAAGTGTCTCTGATTGCTCTGGGGGACTCTTTGCCCACTCATCTTTATGCGTTGCTTCTTTGACATTCTGCCATTCTCATAATGTCCCATCACAGAATTTAAAGTCTCAGCTTTTACTAGAATATTGCAATTTGAGCCTTTTTTTCCAGCTATTATGTTGAAGAGTTTGTGCTGTACTTGGGATCATTGTCATGTTGAGTGATCCTACTGTGCTAAGCTTTAACTGTGAGATGCACTGCCTCACATGTGAATACTTTGGTATAGAGAGGAGTTCGTGGTTGAGTCCTGTGGCTTCAAGAACAAGCTCCAATCATCACCCCTCCACCACTGTGCTTGACGGTTGGTATGAGGTGTAGTTCATTGTGGCCACACATCTCTCCTGATAACCCTTCCAATGATGCCATACTTGTTCAGTCTTCTTCAGTTTGTCATTAACTTTATTTAACCTGCTAACTGATTCTTGATGAATCCCAAATGTAGATTTTGGGTTTTGTTTGGAGTTTCTCTGAGGCTTGGAAGTTCTGACCTCTGGGTGAATTTGCTGGAAAAGATGGAAAGACAAAAACTTCTCCTTTTATACAGATGCTTACGTTTGCTGATTACGTGAGTGATTAGCACTTGATTAGCATTGGGCTGGTACTCATACTCGTCCTTTTTCACAGGAATGCATAGAGTAAACTGACTTTCTCACATGACTGCACATAAGATAACTTTCACTGAATGTCTACTTGATACCATGAAACAGATAAATGAGATCATTTGAAACTATCCAGCACTATAACATATACAGCAGGATAACCCTAAAGTAAGGATAAATTGGTGCCATGTATCCAATTGGACAAATCCTAAAACAACTTCTCAGTCAGTGTTGTCACAGTCTACTCAGCTTTACTCTCACATTCAGTTTTTTCTCACACAAATAAGCAACCACAAGGGTAAAAGAGTTAAAACTTTTCATTTAAAACTTCATCATACTACGGAAGCGTAGAGCTGCCACCCAGGCAAAAGAAAAATACAAGTGTATCACGTTATAACGTGAAAGGTTTATTGTTCTAACAAGATACTTTTCCTGTTTGTACAATATACTATCATGTTTGAACAATATACTTTTCACGTTTGAACAACATAATATCACGTTATTACAATATACATAATTATCACGTTCGTACAATATAAATATTATATTGTACAAACAGGAAAAGTATCTTGTTAGAACAATAAACCTTTCACGTTATAACGTGATACACTTGTATTTTTCTTTTGCCTGGGTGGCAGCTCTACGTATCATACACCAAAACTTTGTGTGAAAAAAAAATTTCATTGACCAAAAGAAAAAAAAAAATTTTTTAAGTCCACTCGCAAAACTGACTAAAATTGAAATAAAACTTTTAGAAAATCTCTAAAGTTTGACTTTTTAAAATGTGTAAACCTAACAAGTATGAGAAGGCGTTTCTGCATTTTTAATGAGACCAAGGTTTCCACATGATTGTGAGTAAAACAATATTTTTTAAATACGCTTTCTTTCCGCTGACAAATATCCTCGTATTAGAATTAAGATTAAGAAAACATTAATGGTCAAACTAGGCATGAGCTAAAATGAGCAAACACACATCTGAAATTGAAAAACGAAACTGAAATAAACATAAAAACTTTCTGTGCAATGACTAATATTGGTGGCCCTGACTCGTTTGGCTCTGTCGCTGGTTTGCTGACTCCTGTGCGTGTCTGCTCTGTCACTGCTATCAGCCTGCTTCTTTATACATCTGTTTCAGTGGTGCTCACAGTTTGTTTTCCCACTCTGACTCATGTATCGCTGCCTCATCTCTCGCTGGTTGAGTTATGTGATCAGTGCTGTGTGTTTGCTTGTTCGGCTTCTGCGTGTTTGCCGGCAAGATTACACAAACACCGCTGAGCCAGATTTCATGACGGTGGAGAGATGCGGCACGATCAAAGGAAGAATCCGTTGAGTTTTGGTCCTGATCAGTTCTTCATAAGCTTTATAAAAAAGGCACTGGCATCGGTGGAACGTGAAATCGCAATCTCTGTGTGGTCTGCAGGTTTACTGTCTCTGTTTCAGTGTGGGCCACTGGAACACTCACCCTGTTGCTCTTTCTGTTTCAGCGGTGGTCAGTGCCATCCCGGTGCCAACCCTGGACTCCTCGCAGTATCCTGGGATTCTGCCTTCTCCCTCGTGTGGCTTCACTCACAACAAGTTTAGCCTGAGACCAATGCCTTTCCCCAGCCTGACTGTGGACAGAGGATACACACCAGGTACTTTGATGCCATCACTATACTTCTAATTGTGCTGCAGCAAAAATAAGCCTGAAAAAATTGCCACTGCTCAGACAACAGGTAGCTCTGTGGCCAGGAGGCAACAAAAGGTGTGAAAGAAAACTCTGATGTCTGCTTTCTACACTTTCTTATTTCCATGTGATATGTTTAGATTAACCTTTATGTTATGTTGTGCCAACAACATAAACTGCTGTAGTTTGCACAGTCAGCAAAGGAGATTTCTTCCTATGTATATTTATAACTGAACACTGAGGCCAAGAAACACGTTGTTGGTTACCAATACTAGTTCATTTTATTTTACCGTCAAATTACAAATTTCTTCTTTCGGGTGTCCAGCAGTCATGACATTACAGGTCTACATTTACAAATGTAGAGGATGTCCTCATTCTAAGAGGCTTTTGCATTACTAAAAGATCATCTTGCTAGTTAAGACATGTAAAATGTATAAGCTAATCAGTGACACAAAGCAAATTTTAGAAATAAAATATTACAAATATTACTGTTGTTCTTATGGGAGTGACATTGTAGGTAAACTGCTTTGTTGTACATTGAATGTGACACATGGGAGAACCAAAGCAACAACATGATCTCGCACTTACAAGAGGATGATGAAATGAGCGTAACATATATTGGATTTGTTAGGAATCTTTCTGAAAAAAACATATAGACGTTCATAATTGCTGTATATGTGATGATGTTCGTGCACATTTTAGTTCAGTGCCGCACGCTAAAGAGGAGATATGGACATACAATATATTCATGGTATGAACTTGTCAACTAAACATGAAACATTAAATGTTATTATTATTATTATTAAATTTTTTTGATAACCTACAGATGTTTGAATGTATGACAGACATCTGTTATATTAAAATCAAAGAGCCATACTTATTTAAAAATAAATATTTTGCCAAAGTAACGGTGATCAAATAGTAAAAATTTGAATGGCAGCAGTGAGGGGGCGGGGCCTAATGATTTCTCAAACTAATATGAGAGAAAAACTAAGCACATTAACTTGCTACATCTGTATATGCTAATATTGTTGTTATGCATGTAGAACTGTCATAGATAGAAGTAAACATGTAACTTTTCCAACTGTTTGCCCACTGTTCATTTCCTTTATCTCACTGTTGTATTCAAGTCTCAGTTTGCTGCAGGGCTAAATGGTAAACGGCATGGTGGGGAGCAGTAATTCAGTAATTCAATAATTGGCTAATTCCTGGTTGGCTCGTATCAGTGATATAACAACAGCAGAGAGGCAGAGTCAGTGGACGGCCTGACACAACACGAAGGTTGATCGCTGCTGGCAAAGCACACAAGAGTGGAGGCGGGTGGGGCAGCTAATGATAGAGAAAGGCAAATATAATGAGAAAGCTGCTAATGAAGGAAAAACGATAGAGACGTACACGCAATGAGATTCAACAATGGACTCTGCTGATTATAAAGGAAAAGATAGAAGATTAGGGCCAGAACGAGTCAACTATGTTCCCCAAATAACATAGACAGTAGCAATACCCAATCTGGGAGCTTTAGACTCTGCTGCTATGTGGCTAATTAAACTAAGACATTGATCCCTGTAGAACTTCTTAGATAAATTTAAGTCAATTCATTAGCATGGTAAAACACTGAATCCTCCCGAATCTCGATGGTTACACCAGCATGCTCTTTGAATCCAAATGATCCAATTCATCTGCTTTCTGCTCTGAACAACTTAATGTTTATGTACTTTATAGCTCTCCTCTTTTTCAAGTAGATGACATTGTCTCAAAGTTTTTTGGAATATTGTAGGAGGAAATTTATGTACATCCTTTCATGCATGCAGCCTTGGACATGATGACAGAAGCTGCGTGGTGTGGCTGAAATAGTCCCACCTTGTTCATATTACCATACCATCTCATGTCACATGACAGTATTTTGGTCATGTGTTAAAATGTAACTATTTTCTCTCTTTTTAGTCCAGGCTTACATTGTGTGTTCACTCGGTGCTAACCCTAATTCATGTCCATAACTCTAACCCAAGTAGAAGCACTTTTTTGGGAAAAAAACAATAGTTATTTTAATTTATCAGATTAACTGATTGTATTTTTTCCTCATTGACAACATGTATATGGAGCATATTTTTAAAATGACATATTCTAATAGTACAGGGTTCTGATTAAGGTTAGGACAATCACTAATGATGTTCGAGACCATCTGTCACTGGTTAGAGGTGAGGAAAAGGAGACAGGACAGATGTTAGTAATTAAAGAGTAGTGAGGAAAAACAAAATGAACCACTTGCTTTTGTTTTTTTATTTTGTTTTTTCCCATCATTATTTCAGCACGTGTTTTTGAGGGGTTTAGTAAGGGAGTCATGTTGATGTCCTCTTACGAGAGTTCTCAGTGGTAGATATTAAAAATGTATGCCTCAGACTTTATGCCTCAGTTCTTTGAAAGATTTGATAACATCAGACTCATAATCTTTTCAAGGCCTTTGAAGGTGCAGCGAGTAAATGTAAGTGTCTGCTCTTCCTGGCAAACATGGTTACCCTGTATTGCGCTGTACTGACACATAAACTTTGGTTCTTTTAAAGATTTCCTCATGTCATACAAGGTTAAGCAGATTCTTACTTTAAAGAAGTTATGATACCTGGGTGTAAAGAACATTTTAGTGCCATCATTCATTTCTTATTTTAGTGTCCTTGCTCTGGTCTCCATTTATTACCGGAACATATAACCACAGAGACTGCAGTTTATTTTCTGTTATTTAAACCAGGTTATCAGTTTTGCCTGAATCCCAGCACCGTACAGTTACTCTAACACTGCCATATGTAGCATTTTCCCTACAGTCTAATTGTCTAAATGTGAAGTTTCTCAAATAACCATCTTTTAATATAACATTTACATTCCTGTGAGTTAGCCAAATGAAATGAATATTGTGTTTCTTGCTATTCGTTTTTCCTTTAAAGGCATTTGGTGTTTTCAGTATTCATGTAGACCTGCGAGTCACTATTTTAAAAATCCATTTTATTTTTTGCAGTGAATTGTTATGGAGAATGTTACCAACTTTCCTCCTGATAGAGGAGGTAATGCTGTGTTTCAATCTGGAGATAATGCAGATGTATTTTCTTCAAAACTAGATTCTTGGAAAAACACAAATTATTGTTTCTTCTCATCGTCTCTCTGAGCTTTTTGAAAGTCTTCTATTTTTATGTCTCGGTCCCCTCTTGTCACTTTTTTCCTCCCCCTCTCATTTTTACTCTTTAACTGCGCTCACGTTCCTTCTCTCGGCTCTCCCTCTACATTCTCCTTCTTGTCTCAGCTGCTTAATGAACGCACAGCAGCTCTACATACAATAACCAGCTTTCCAATGTTCTCTCTGATCAAACTGGCTGTTGTTACACAAGCAGGAGTTTCATCTCTCACGACACATGAGAGTCAAGTTTCTGCACGCTGAAGATTTTTTTTATTGTCTTTTCCTTTAACAAGAAGCTCTTCTCCTTTTTTCCTCTCATATGTGTCTTTGACAAGATAAAACAGGGTTTCGCAGTGTGGAGAAATTCATCCAGCAGAGAAGCACCAGCATGAAGCTTCACATTCAACAAGAAACAGAATAAAACTAAGACCTGGCAGGGTTTCTCTATGCCAGAGGAGGAGATTGGCATTTTAAATAAAGTGTTAAATTATACAGATGAGATTTATTAAATTTTAAAGACGACTGGATAAATGACAAGCTGTAACTTCGTGAGAGAAGACAAACACAGTAACTGCAACACAGTAGTGGAATTTCAACAAGTTTATGGCCCAAATTTACATGTTCCCTCTGGCCCGTTGTGATATTTATTACTACTTGAGTGTAAGGATGTCTGCTTTTTAAAGGATAATGGACAATTACTAGATTGTACTTGCCTTGTAGTGCCAAAGAACACAATTAAAATTCAGCACGATCTCTTTCCAGAATTTATAACCGTGTTACTCAGACTTGTTGTGATTAGTATGTCTTTTCTCTGACCGTTCTTTTGCTCTTCGTAAATGGCTAATAGGATATTCTGTCTTTTCTCTCAAATTCCCCTCGCTAATATTTCTCATCTCTTCTTAACCTCGCATTGAATCTTTTTTTTTTTACCTCCTTCTTGCTTAACATGCTACATCCGTTTATCTGCTTCCCCATTCTTAGCTTTGTCCACAGATGCCTCCTCCAATCCTCTTCTCCAGCAACAGCCTCCAACACAACAGACTGCTCCTCTCCTCCCCGGTTCCTCAGCCCCGCCTGGGGAGCACCTTCCCTCGATAGGCCCAGTCCCGGGTGCAGCCACTGCAGCGGCAGAGGAGGCCCAGGGTGGGAGCGGTCGGACCATCCCGACAGCCTGTGTGCGGCCCACCCATCCACTAAGAAGCTTCACCAACCCACTGCTGCCACCACCCATGGGGACCATCGACCCCAAGGTGTACACTTCTATGCTGCCACAGTCCAGTGAGTACCGCTGCTTAATGCATGTGTTATGACTAATAATGTAGGATTTCTTATAATGGACCAGGACTGATTGTAGTGTTCTTGGCAGGAATAATTTTCCTGGAATCAGCAGCTAAACCTCTAGTGGCTGATTGAGTTTTCAAAAATGCTCAGATTTCAGTCTAAATTGTTTATCTTTTGACTTTAGATGATTCTGCTGGAGTTTCTTTCTGTTAAAAGGGAGTTTTTCCTTTCCACCATCTCCAAGTGCTTTCTCATAAAAGGTCATCTGATTATTTGGGTTTCTTTCTAGTACTGTACAGTCTTTACCCAAGGAACTTTATATTGTAGACTGTTGTTTTGATTTGGTGCACTGAACTGAATTATCTGATTATAGATTATCAGTGATTGTTGTTGTTTCTTTGCTTAAGGAATGATGGATTCAATTCAATTTTATTAATATATTTAGATTTTATTGACACCAAATAATAACAACAGTTGCTTCACTGTGCTTTCTAATGTGATGTAAAGACCCTACAATAACACAACGAACTCTTCTCTCCTGGGCACACGTGGTGAAGCTGAGAGCAAAGGACAGAAACTAGCACAAAAGGACATCAAAATAAAGTAGAGACTGTTACTCTGACCTAAAATAAACTGAGTGGATGTAGGTGAATAAAATATTCTTTAACCTCCTAAGACCCGAACTCTTCCACGGCATGCATTTTTAATTTCTCTTTGATATTTGAGCATATTGGGGCCCGATGAATGTAAAAAGAAAGAATTACCAGATTTTTTTGTTTTTACCTTATTTTTGTTTTTATGAAAAATAAGAGCCACATATGAGGATATTTGTTTAAAATTTTGATAGAACAGTAGCAGCATATCAGGCCCTTGTAGAGCAAAATTGAGTATTTTGGTCTAAATAACCCAAAATGTGATGTCCACATATGTGGACGCCAGGTCCTAGGAGGTTAAGTTAGTATATTCATTTTCTTTCCACCTTTCTTGGAGAGGTACAAATTTCCATAACTGTGGCAGACCACGCAGCCAATCTGCAACAAATTTCTATAAAAAATAACACCATTAATAAAGTTTTTATGAAGAAGATTAGAGTAACAATTGTCATGTAAAGCTGTGAATTATAGAATATATGTGTAGAACATGTGTTTAAATTTCAAAATATAATGATTAACCAAAGCGCTTGTGCTCTGTTCTTTTGCATTAAAGTGTCCGTAATTCTTATTAATTCCAACTTATGTATATTTACTATAATGAAAAGGTCTTTGAATCCTTCACAGTACAAAGCATGCTTAGATTATGAAATGCCAACAGCTTTGTACCATTCCTCTACTGAACCACTAGCAGCACAATAAGTAAAGTTTGACTTGTAATGATGACACTTTTTTTAAATTCCTCTTCTGCTTTGCGTCTGCAGCCGGTCCCTAAGATGCAGCCTCTTGCTGATTGGTTTGTCAGATTCCAGTGGCTTTGTGTTTAAGCTGGGTCTCTCTAGTGAGCCTCTGTGCTTTGCTTAATATTTTATTCAGGGAAGTTGAATGCATTAGCCTCAGGCTTCTACACTGTGTGTGTGTGTGTGTATTTGTAGAACAATATACTGTAACTGGCCTTGACATTAGCCAGAGGGTTGGATCTGATCTGGACCGACCTTCCTCTGTTCTTTCATTCACTTTTTATGTTACCTGTCGGTTTCTCCATATTCCATATATCAAATCTCCCCCTCTCTCTCTCTCTCTCTCTCCCTCTCTCTCTCTCCCTCTCTCTCCCTCTCTCTTGCTCTCTCAGGCATTATGTTTGACCAAAAAAAATGTTGGTCTCACGGGAATCAGAGTCCCCTCTGATTCTTTTTACTGGTGTTCTCAGTCAGTCACCATGTTGGATTGAAATATCTTAAAAATATGAGCTGGGTTGAAATTTTTCACAGTTATCCAAGAAGAACAGAAAATAAAACCTCCCGGCTTTGCTCAGTACCTGATTTTTCTCAATGTCTGTCATCAAAACTCATTTTTGTGGCTTCCTGGCAAAGAATTCAAGCAACGCAGCGACTGTGAACCTGTCTGCGTAGTTGTTGAGTCCTGTCACATCTTAAAGACCTCACAAGATGATATTATTCCAGTAAAGCAGTTCACTCTCAGACTGCAGGCTTACTTGTAGTTCTAAAGCTAGATAAACAGGCAGAGGCTTCAGCCATTAGGACCCTCTCCTGTAGAACCAGCTCCCAGTGTGGGTTCAGGACAGGTGTAACAATTTTGTAACAGGCCCTGGGGTAGATACCCAAGCAAACACACACACACACACACACACACACACACACACACACACACACACACACACACACACACTGTGTATAACAGTAATCAAAAGTAACTGTAGCATCTTTCCAGCTTCCGATCAGCACCATGGACAGCAACTGGGTAACACAAGGTTTCCTTTATGATTTATAGTCATGGCATGTTCTTCAACCACAAGCTGAATAAAGCTTTAATAAAATGATCAGCGTTCTGCTCTACCAGGTGTAACAATTGAGTTTAACATCCAGGCATCCATGAAAACGGAATTTATGACATTTAACGGAGTTAGAAGTTAGCAGGAAGTTAGCTCGCTAGCTTCTATCTAAATAAAATATAGCATGTCCTGACTGCGGGGTTTTGGAAACAAATTAAAACGTACAGCTCTGCTATCACTTCCAGCATAAATGAAGACAGAAAACGAAACAGCAGTGATGTTTGTAGGGTTACTGAAGTTGGGCTAGCTGGTATATAATGATGTGCTACGTGACCGCTAGCGACACAGCTATGTTAGCATAATATAAACAAGCTAACTTTTTTTCCACTTGATAAAAGTTAACGTGAGTGTTCTCGGTGGTCAGAAACAAATGTAATCGCATGGCAGGATGCTGTAAAAGGACCAAACTTCAGCCAGGAGAACAACTGAGATAATCCATCCACAATACGAGGTTAGTCATTCATATACTGCTGCATGGGCTGGGCTGTAGTTACATCCTAAGGTTTTAAAAACTGAGCTTAAATAAATGATTAGCGGTAATAAAAGCCGAGGGAGGTCAACAGTGATCACTGACTGTTTTAGGAGCTTTTTGAGATCAAATAGAAGAAAATACATAACATTAAACATGTTAACAACACAAAAGCCATATTAAACGCAGACTACTTTAGACCCGGAAGTAGGATTCGTCGCGTCATCACTGAACAACCGGATAGCATTAGCTTTAGCTTTACTCTCTTCTATAGTTTGTGTTGTCGTCCTGTTTGCTGTTCCTGGTCTCTCTCTGCTTCTCTTTCCTGCTTCTCTTTTGGCTCAAACCCCAACCTTCTACCTGAGGTCTCTTCCTGTGAAAACTTATCTTTAGATTCTTGGCCCTCTTGGTCTAATGCTGTAAGGTCTTTGCTTTGCGTTATAAAGCGCCTTGAGACAACTGAACTGGCACTATGTCAGTGAAATAGTTGGAGAGGCGACTGAGACGTCAGAACTCTACAGGTGGCACTAAAGTGAGTTGTCAATCAGAGGTCAGTCACTTGGCTCGGGGATGAGATGAGTACCTCAGCAACTGCTCATCTGACATTATTTCACTTGTCGTTGCAACAAGTCACTGAACTTTATTGACTATCTCTGGTCTCATCACTCCTGACTTCTGCCCTTCTGAGCTTGATCAGCAGTTTCATCGTGAATGTCTGTACCCTACAATAAAGGTAAATAAAGTCAAGCTAACTAATATAATTTCTAATAATCAGGACTTCTCCCAGCTGAATTTTTAAAGCTCTGGTTAATATTAGATTGCACATCACTATGTGGTTCTACCATGTCTTTTTAAAACTTGTAAGTCCAGAAAGTGTTCCCCATGAGATTTGAGAAAATGAAGTATACTGGAGGCAAGAGCACCACTCCTCTTAGACATTCCCTAATTCCCTCTCGGTTTTCTTTACTTTACTCTTTCTTTGTCCTTTGTCTCACTTGTTCACTGTCTTTTTTAGCTCTTTCTGTCCCTCTGCGCCTCATCCTGTCATACTGTCTCTGGTAGCCTGCAGCAATGAGGAAAGGGGGGGGGGGGCGTCTTACAGTACATGTGATCCCTGGGCTCTGTTTGTATGTGTGTAGCTGTATTTGTTGTGCATTTCCTCTTTTGTTAGGTGTGTATCACCTCTGTGTGTGTGCGTGGGTGTATACAGTTCCATTATGGCTCTGTTTACATGCCCAGGTGGCCTCAGATTAACATTGATTTTTGGCTCCTGGAAATCTTTCGCTGAGAAATCGCGAGCCTGGGGCGACAACTCCGAGAGACCTGCCGCTCGCCCCGTGACCCCGCCCACCCTTACTTTAGCCCCCTCCCTACAACAGAGCCTCAAAGCTAGGCAGCACTACCTCTATTCCTCACCCCCCTCCAGGGAGAAAAAACATACCAGTGAGCGATGGCTTTTGATGTTCATTGTTGGTCTTGTTTGTGTGTTTATCCAGGTCTGAATGACTCCCTGGGTGAAAATAATGAGATGTTTTCATGGTATAATTGGATTGTTTGGGTGAGACAGAAAAAGAGAGAGGGGAAGAGAGAGCATGTGATGGCGCATGTGTGAGATTATGTAGTTTTCTTTAGATCAGGGGTGTCAAACAATGCAGCCCAGGGGCCAGAACCTGTGCACCAATGGGCTAACTGGAGGGGTTCATAAAACATGAAGTAATTGCTTGCTTTTTATTTTAGTAAAACTGACTATTATTGCCAGTATGTTGATGCCAGCATTAGCCTGCTAAAAAAAGTAAAAATAAATAAAATATTTAATTTAAAAGCATCTCTAGATTTAAAACTCCTTCAAAAATCCTAAAGGCATAAAATAAAATTTTTGTTTTACTTACAAAATTTCTACATGTGGAGGTTTTATGCCTTTCCACTGTGATCTGTAAATTTAAATGTGCATGTCATGGCAGCAAACTCCATGGATGTGGAAAAACTGAAAATGTACATATTAGGCTTATTAACCCTCTCAGGCTCA